TTCTCAGTTTATATAAAAGTTATGTTCACATCATATTATATTAAGTGTGCAGAAACACTTATGTCTAAAAAATCATTGTAGATACCTTAATTAAAAGATAATGCTTTTGGAAAAATGGTGCTTATAGACCTGTTCAATGAAGGGTTGCCGTAAGCCTTCAATTTATGAAAAATGCAGTATCTGTGAAGCGCAGGAAAAAAAAACAACAACAACAAGGAATGCCTGTGTAATGATTTTCACTTATCTTACTTACTCCTGACAACAAACTCTAGATCCGAGGAAATGTTAACTGAAAACTTCTACAAGACTACCTCTTCAAAACCTATGTCTCTTCTATTCCCTTGGAATTCTTCCCCTGCATATTTTGGAACCCTTTCAATCCACAGCAAAGTCACTTAACTGCTCTTTCATATTTACTTTTTTATTTCTGGGCTACATTCTGAACGAATGCCTAATGAATGCCAATTCTTGAATTCTTCCTTTGATGGCATAAAATGTGGCTTTTTAACCTCAGAAAAATCTACTTACTAAGTTTATTTCCTCTTTAGTATTAGGTAGAATTTCTTTCATCTCTATGGAAACTTAAACATACTTCTTTTATTATTTACCCCTTCCTATGTTTTTGAGATTATCTCTGCTCCAAATATTCACTACATGGAGAATTAGATCGTACAGTGGGCTTAAAAAGAACTTCCTGCTGTAAGATGACACAGGAGATTTTTAAAGACTCCCTCAACAACCAAGAAAGTAATCAATTTAATTCAGGTTCTGATTATAAGGACTATGTCCGTCCTCTCCTTTCCTTCATCACGATTTCCAAAAACTGGGGTTTTAGCATAAACCAGTATCCAAACTAGGGCCATCCTAAGTAGTAAAGAAATCTCTATTAGTTAACTATATGGATGATAAGCATAAAGCAGAGTCTCACAGGTAACCTAAGATATTTATTAATATGATCCCCTTAAACACAAGCCTTAGCCTATGCATCAGTTATCAGTGACTTTCTTCCATCTCCTTTCCAAGTATGGGGTCTCATATTAGGCCCTGGCTTCATGTATTTTAAGCCTAACTTTATTCACACATGCTTCATGAAGCACCTTACATCCTTTAAACATACAAGATCCAAACTCGTGGCTACAAGTATCTACTTCCGCTACCTTAAACCTAATGCTGACCACTAAGTAGTTTTTTTCTATATAAACCACAGAAACATTTAGTTTCTAAACCCATTAATGTCTACCCTCTTTTTAGTACTTTGTCTTTCATACTTTATATTTGAAATGAAGGGGTAATAAACACTGAAATGACTGTGCCAGCTTCATTAAAAGATGTGCATTCATTTTTTAAAAATGAATTTTTAAGCATTCCTTCCGCTCAGTCACCACTTTCAGGAATTTACATTACAAAGGATTCCTACAGGCAATATTTCATAGGGATATATAAAGATCTTCAAGGAAGTACTATTTTTAACAGAATAAAACTACTTTTAAATAGTTATCTTAAATATACTTATCCTTCTTAAACAATAAAGCAGTGCAACAGAAAACTAATTAGATAAATCATGGCTCAGACATGTTATAGTATACAAACGTTAAAAACTGTAAGTTTAAAGATCTAAATATAAGTCCAGAAGCTATAAAACTCCTAGAGGAGAACATAGGCAAAACACTCTCTGACATAAATCACAGCAGGATCCTCTGTGACCCTCCTCCCAGAATATTGGAAATAAAAGCAAAAATAAACAAATGGGACCTAGTGAAACTTAAAAGCTTTTGCACAACAAAGGAAACTATAAGCAAGGTGAAAAGACAGCCCTCAGATTGGGAGAAAATAATAGCAAACGAAGCAACAGACAAAGGATTAATCTCAAAAATATACAAGCAACTCCTGCAGCTCAATTCCAGAAAAATAAATGACCCAATCAAAAAATGGGCCAAAGAACTAAACAGACATTTCTCCAAAGAAGACATACAGATGGCTAACAAACCCATGAAAAGGTGCTCAACATCACTCATCATCAGAGAAATGCAAATCAAAACCACAATGAGGTACCATTACACGCCAGACAGGATTGCTGCTATCCAAAAGTCTACAAGCAATAAATGCTGGAGAGGGTGTGGAGAAAAGGGAACCCTCTTACACTGTTGGTGGGAATGCAAACTAGTCCAGCCACTATGGAGAACAGTGTGGAGATTTCTTAAAAAACTGGAAATAGAACTGCCATATGACCCAGCAATCCCACTCCTGGGCATACACACCGAGGAAATCAGGTTTGAAAGAGACACGTGCACCCCAGTGTTCATCACAGCACTGTTTATAACAGCCAGGACATGGAAGCACCCTATATGCCCATCAGCAGACGAATGGATAAGGAAGCTATGGTCATATACAGTATGGAATATTACTCAGCCATTAAAAAAATTCATTTGAATCAGTTCTAATGAGATGGATGAAACTGGAGCCCGTTATACCGATTGAAGTAAGCCAGAAAGATAAAGACCAATACAGTATACTAACACACATATACGGAATTTAGAAAGATGGTAACGATAACCCTATATGCAAAACAGAAAAAGAGACACAGATGTACAGAACAGACTTTTGGACTCTGTGGGAGAAGGCGAGGGTGGGATGTTTCGAGAGAACAGCATCAAAACATGTATATTATCTAGGGTGAAACAGATCATCAGCCCAGGCTGGATGCATGAGACAAGTGCTCGGGCCTGGTGCACTGGAAAGACCCAGAGGGATCGGTTAGAGAGGGAGGTGGGAGGGGGAATCGGGATGGGGAATACATGTAAATCCACGGCTGATTCATGTCAGTGTATGGCAAAAACCACTACAATATTGTAAAGTAATTAGCCTCCAACTAACAAAAATAAATGGAAAAAAAAAATTGTAAAGTCCACTGAAAAAAATGCCCACAACAGAACGCTGTATAAAATGGAAAAAATTACAGCAGTTTGTAGATTAATTTGAATACAGCTAGGAAACAAAAACATAAAATGAATAACAAAAACTCACAGCAAAGTAAAAAACGCATAGGGTCACTTTCAATAGAATAATAGTGAGAAAAAGTTGAAAAAGTGAGTTAAAACCAAATTCTGGAAGGTACCAAGGTTCTGACTACTAATCTTTACCCTTTATAAAATATGAATCCAAAATAAAGAGAATAAAGTATGAAAACAACAATAGGGAAGAGTATTGTAGATGAAGAATACAGAACATAGTCGGTGAAAAAGAAAAAAATCTTATACTCATAACTACTGTATATCATGGAGAAGGCAATGGCAACCCACTCCAGTACTCTTGCCTGGAAAATACCATGGACGCAGAAGCCTGGTAGGCAGAAGTCCATGGGGTCACTAAGAGTCGGACAGGACTGAGCAACGTCACTTTCACACACTGGAGAAGGAAATGGCAACCCACTCCAGCGTTCTTGCCTGGAGAATCCCAGGGATGGGGGAGTCTGGTGGGCTGCCGTCTATGGGGTCACACAGAGATGGACACGACTGAAGCGACTTAGCAGCAGCAGCAGTGTATATCGAAATCAAATGACTACATTTTGTTCACAATAAATATTGAAGATTTTATTCATATTAAGTAAAAGCTGGAAAAATAAACTTTTGCATGAAAAAAGAAAGCAAAATAATGAAGTGCAATTTTTAAATTTAATTTCCTTGATTTTCTGCTTGTGTCTCTACCTATGGATGAGAGGCAATAAATAGATTTCGATTAGTATTTCTATAGCCTGTTAACAATTTTTCTATTGCAGTTCGTATCTGCAATGGAAACTATCAAGCTTAATGGCTAAAAATCACTTAATATACTTCAAAATTATACTTATATACTTTAATGTTGTCCATTGCTTTGAATAACTGAGAATTCAATATTTCTTTCACCATTTAGCATCATCCCACCATTCCAACACTGTCCCCTTCCCATACAAATTCCAAGATTCCTGAACAAATCAATCTGGTAATATACACTAAAGCCCTGTAAGGAATTCAAAAAGAAATACATATAAAAAATTAAAAAATATACTAATGAAAAGTTGCCTGCTTTTGGTTCTAAAAGTAAATCTGTTTCATAAAGTACCCAACTTTCACACTTAAATTGAAAATGAAGTATCAAAAATGAGCAAATACAAAATTGAAAGATTTAACATACAATCATTTGTAATTAAAAAATGGAAATTAAAATAATGAATTTACAGGCTTTATCTATATTGCCAAGTAATTATTAAATATATCCAATTGCTAGCTATACTTCTGGTGAAAGATAAACTAGTACAAATTCTGGAGAATAAAATGGTATTTATTACTACATAGTTAAGAAATATTCTTAAAATAATTTTACCTCTAGTCCTTTAAAATGAAAAGAAGATCTAAGGAACTAAATACAAATGATGCATAAAGTTTAAAATATTCTAAAAGTGTAAACACAGACTAAAGGAATCATAATACTTATAGTTTATCCTTAAAATGAATTAGTCAGAAGCCAATAAAGATGTGCTCTTTGAGACTATTTAATGACACCTGTTGAGTGAATGAGGGCAGAAAAAACAGCATAAGAAGTTATAAAAGATCACACAAACACAAATATCCATAAAATATTAACTGTGGTTATTTCTATTTCACTACTTAAGCATTTTTTTACACCCTTTCTTCTTTCAAATATTCTTCAATACACATGTTAGTTACATTAAGTCAAATTCTAAAAATACACACATGATTGAGGCAATACAAATCTCAAGCAGTTCCTACTATATGCAAATTATTTTATTAAACATAATGCAATCTAAAATTTGTAATGTTAACTTACTATTAAACAATATGCCTTTCCTGACACTTTTCCAAAACAAGCAAAGAAAAACCTTTACTAAACTTGACTACACAATCAACAATTGTATAAAAATGTCAAAATGCACACTTAACAGGTTTTACATGTAATTGACCCTATATTGCTTTATTAGTAAGATAGAAACACTTAAGATTTACCTGCATTGCACTTTTCCCCAGTTTCACCACTTCAAATAATGTGACAGGCTCCCCTTCACCATTTTGTTGAGGGTGCCCATTAGCTCTTCCACGGCCTGTTCCTCTAACCCCAGCTTCAATTCTACTCTTCTCTCCTGGTGATTTTCGAGGTTTCTTATTTGTAGACTGAATAAAAAAAAGAGGAAAAGCAAAATTAAATGCAGGTATACTTGCCTTATGGAGAGTGATCTCAAATTATGTTTGAGCCTGTGAAAGCGAAGTTAGCACTGTTATAGGTAAGAGATAATTTCAAAAGAAGCTTTACAATGTTTGTAATGATTTTTTTAAAAGTGCAAACAGCAAAGTACAAGTTAATTTATACAAGGTATGAAAAGAAAAAGACTTACTATTTTGTACAATAATGACAATGCCATAACCCTGTCCCCAAACACGACCCCATCTTGACATGTTCTTAATTACCAACCTTAAGACTAGACTTCCTCAGAAATCATGTTCAACAAAATGCTACTTGGACAACTTGGCATGTTCAACTTCTCCTTCAACTTAAGTACTAAAATATTTCTTATTCAGTCATGCAACAAATATATATTGACAATTTTTGGAACCATCCCAAGTACTAAAAATACAGCAACTATTTTGGCCTTCAAGTTTTTTTTTCAGTCAGTTCAGTTCAGTCTCTCAGTCATGTCCGACTCTGCCACCACATGGACTGCAGCACGATAGGTTTCCCTGTCGATCACCAACTCCCGGAGCTTGCTCTAACACGTCCATTGAGTCAGTGATGCCATCCAACCATCTCATCCTCTGTTGTCACCTTCTTCTCCCCCCTTCAATCTTTCCCAGCATTAGGGTCTTTCCAGTGAGTCATTTCTTCTCATCAGATGGCCAAAGTATTGGAGTTTCAGCTTCACATCAATCCTTCCAATGAACATTTAGCACTGATTTCCTTCAAGATTGACTGGTTTGATATCCCTGCTGTCCAAGGGACTCTCAAGAGTCTTTTCCAACCCCACAGTTCAAAAATATCAGTTCTTTGGCACTCAGCTTTATGGTGCAACTCGCACATCCATACATGACTGTAGGAAAAGCCATAGCTTTGACTAGACAGACCTTTGTTGGCAAAATAGTGTCTCTGTTTTCTAATGTTATCTAGGTTTGTCAGAGCTTTCCTTCAAAAGGGCAAGCATCTTTTAATTTCATAATGCAGTCACCATTTGCAGTGATTTTGGAGCCCAAAAAATAAAGCCTCTCACTGTTTCCATTGTTTCCCCATGTATTTGCCATGAAGTGATGGGACCAGATGCCATGATCTTAGTTTACTGAATGCTGAGTTTTAAGCCAGCTTTTTCACTCTCCTCTTTCACTTTCATCAGAAGGCTCTTTAGTTCCTCTTCGCTTTCTGCCATAAGGGTGGTTATCAACTGCATATCTGAGATTAATAATACTTCTCCCAGGAAACTTGATTCCAGCTTGTACTTCATCCAGCCCGGTATTTCTCATTATGTACTCTGCAGAGAAGTTAAGTAAGCAGGGTGACAACAGACAGCCCTGACGTACTCTTTTCCCAATTTAGAACCAGTCCGTGATTTCATATATGGTTCTAACTGTTGCTTCTTGACCTGCATATGGATTTCTCAGGAGGCAGGTAAGGTGGTCTGGTATTCCCATTTCTTTAAGAATTTTCCACAGTTTGCTGTGATGTACACAGTCACACCATTTGGAATAGTCAATAAAGCAAAGTTTTGCTGGAATTCTCTTGCCTTTTCAATGATCCAATGTATGTTGGCAATTTGATCTCTGGTTCCTCTGCCTTTTCTAAATCCAGCTTGAATATCTGTACTGTTCATTTACTGTTGAACCCTAGCCTGGAGAATTTGGAGCATTACTTTGCTAAAGTGTAAGATGAGTGCAATTGTGCAGTAGTGTGAATTTTTTCAGCATTACTTTTCTCTGGGATTGGGATGAAAACTGACATTTTCCATTCCTGTGGCCATTCTGAATTTTCCACATTTGCTGGCATATTGAGTGCAGCACTTTAACAGCATCATCTTTTAGGATTTGAAATAGCTCAGCTGGAATTCCATCACCTCCACTAACATTGTTCCTAGTGATGCTTCTTAAGGCCCACTTGGCTTCACATTTCAGGATGTCTGGCTCGAGGTGAGTGATCATATCATCATGGTTATCTGGGTCATTAACATCTTTTTGTATAGTTCTTCTGTGTATTCTTGCCACCAAATCTTAGTATATTCTGCTTCTATTAGGTCCATACCATTTCTCTCCTTTATTGTGCCCATCTTTGCAAGAAATGTTCCCTCAGTATCTCTAATCTTCAAGAGATCTCTAGTCTTTCCCATTCTATTGTCTTCCTCTATTTCTCTGCATTGATCACTATGGAAGGCTTTCTTATATCTCCTTGCTGTTTTTGGAACTCTGCATTCAGATGGATGTATCTTTCCTTTTCTCCTTTGCCTTTTGCTTCTCTTCTTTTCTCAGCTATTTCAAAGGCCTCCTCAGACAACCATTTTGCCTTTCTATATTTCTTTTTCTTGGGGATGGTTTTGATAAACACCTCCTGAACAATGTCACAGACCGTGGTCCATAGTTCTTCAGGCATTCTGTCTATCAGATCTAATCCCCTGAATTTATTTGTCCCTTCCACTGTATAATCTTAAGGGATTTGATTTAGGTCATACCTGAATGGCCTAGTGGTTTTCCCTACTTTCTTCAATTTAAGTCTGAATCTGGCAATAAGGAGTTCATGATCTGAACCACAGTCAGCTCCTGGTCTTCTTTTTGCTGACTGTATAGAGCTTCTCCAGCTTTCGCTGCGAAGAATATAATCAATCTGATTTGGGTGTTGACCATTTGGTGATGTCCACATGTAGATTCAGCTCTTGTCTTGTTGCAAGAGGGTGGTTGCTATGACCAGTGCATTCTCTTGGCAAAACTCTTGTTAGTCTTTGCCCTGCTTCATTTTGTTCTCCAAGGCCAAACTTGCCTGTTACTCCAGGTATCTCTTGACTTTCTGCTTTTGCATTCCAGTCTGCTATGATGAAAAGGACATCTTTTTTGGGTGTTAGTTCTAGAAGATCTTGTAGGACTTCATAGAACCATTCAACCTCAGCTTCTTCAGCATTACTGGTTGGGCTACAGACTTGGGTTACTGTGACACTGAATGGTTTGCCATGGAAACCAACAAAGATCATTCTGTTGTTTTTGAGATTGCACCTAAGTACTGCATTTCAGACTCCTCTGTTGACTACATGATGGCTACTCCATTTCTTCTAAGGGATTCTTGCCCACAGTAGTAGATATAATGGTCATCTGAATTAAATTTGCCCATTCTGGTCCATTTTAAGTTCCCTGATTCCTAAAATGTCAATGTTCACTCTTTCCATCTCCTGTTTGATCACTTCCAATTTACCTTGATTCACGGACCTAACATTCCAGGTGTCTGTGCAACAGTGTTCTTTACAGCATCATACTTTACTTCCATTACCAGTCGGTCCACAACTGGGTTTTTTCTCTGCTTTGGCTCTGTCTCTTCATTCTTTCCGGAGTATTGCTCTACTCTTCTCCAGTAGCATATTGGGCACCTACTGACCTGGGGAGTTCATCTTCCAGTGTCCTATCTTTTTGCCTTTTCATACTGTTCATGGGCTTCTCGAGGCAAGAATACTGAAGTGCTTTATCATTCAGTTCTGTAGTGGACCACATTTTGCCACAACTCTCCACCATGACCCGTCCAACTTGGGTGGCCCTACAGGGCATGGCTCATAGTTTCATTGAGTTAGACAAGGCACATTCTTCAATTAGCAACCCATCCCATGCCCCCAACTTACAAAGAAAAGTCAACACCTGCTATCACCTTATCTATGTCTCACCTTTAGAGTCAAGATAGAGTAGCTTGCAGTCACCATTCTTGTTATCATTCCCATAAATTTCACTTATATGTAAACTCATTAGAGTTCCTGACCAAACTCACCAGTAAAATTAATGTTGCTAAACGGACATTTTTTTGCAACTCTCCAAGCAAGCCACATTATCCCTATGTGTTTCAGATATCTCTTCCCTCCCTATATTCCTTACCCGTCAGGTCTCTGCTAAGCATTTTCTCAATCTTTATACGCTTTCTTGAGTGGTTTAGTTCTTTCTCATACCAGTCTGTTATGGTTATCAATTTACTGTTCTCCAAATGTACTCTATTTTGCCCCACTTTGTGACGCTGGAACTGGATTCAGTAAACATTTCTCTTGTCCTCTGCTGCAATGGTAACTAAAATGCCCTGGAGGAACACTACAAAGCACAGCATAGTGAGGCTTCTCTTCCTGCTCACAGGACACACTCCCGTCATTCTCTATTCTTGTATTCTTCAAAGTACTCTCTCACTCCTCTTGATATTATAGTTAATAGCCTGACCTCTATTTGTGTGTGTGGATTAATACATAATAAATTTACTATTTTTAAATAAAGTAATTTTAGAACAGTGTTAGGTATACAAAAATAAAGTTGTGAAGATAGTAAAAGGAACCCCCACATATATCATATATAATTAGATCAATTATTAACCTTATTATTTGTATGATACATCTGTTACAATTAATGAACCACTATAGACACATTAACAAAAGTCCATATTTAATTCAGATTTTCCTAGTTTTTGTTTAATGATCTGCTCTAGAAGCCCACCCAAGGGCTCTTCAACATATTCACATCATGTCTCCCTAAGCTCCTCTGGGCTGCAACAGTTTTTATTCTTTCCTGGTTTATGGTGACCTTGAGATTTTTAAGGAATTTTGGACAAGTATTTTATATTGTACAGGTATTTCATATAACGTTCCTCAACTGGGTTTGTCTGATGTTTTTCTCATGACCAAACTGGAATTATGGGTTTGGAAAGGAAGATATGAGAGATAAAGTGTCATTTTTGTCACTTCACATCAAGGGAATAGTCTAACACATGACTTATCACTCTTAATGCTGACCTGTTAATCAGTTGGCAGAGGTGATACTTGTCAGGTTTTCCACTGTAAAGTTACTTTTACTCTCCTCTCCATATTTCACCATTTAGAAGAAAGTCACTATGTGCATTCCACATTGAAGGGGTGAAGAGCTATGCTCCACCTCCTTGGAGGTTGAGCATTTATACATACTATTTGATA